TCCTCCCGCCTCCCCCTGCAAGGGGTGGGTGGTTGAATTTCTTCCCCCCCCCCCACCTTTAGTTTGCAGGCAGTGGCTGCTAAGTTGGAGAGGAGGATGGTTGCGGTGAAGAGGCAGGAGTGGGGGACGTAAGAGGTCCCCGCTATTCAGTGGCAGAGAGGGGTGACCTTGGGCAGTTCCCCCCGCCTGCTCCTGCCTTCTGGGTAGCATATCACCGAAGCATCCCGCAAGGGATGGAGGAGGACTCGTAAGTAGGAAGAGGTTGGCAAATGCTTTTGAGACCTTTCTGGAGGTGGCACCGCAGGCATGCAAGCCTTCCCGAAACAGGACTGGTCATGCCGTCTGGTCCCAAGTGCATCCTAGATGGGATGGAGAGGTTTATCCAGGGCTCGTGGTGGTGGTAGCTTTTCTTTCCCCCTAAAAACATGGAGCTACCTAGTGGCAGGAGTTGCTTTGGAGAACAATCTGTTGAAACGTGTCTTCAAAATCACTGGAGGGGAGGCTGCAGCCTTGGCATGCACTGAGGGAGAAAGAAGCCAAGAAAGAAGATCTAAACTTTCCAGACAGACAGAATATTCAAATCACAACTAATTAGACATTAATCCCTCATAAACAGGGCATTAACAGCAATTAAAAGATGCTTTGATATTCTTAAACCCAAGAAGATGCCTTAACTGGTACTTCCAGGGGGATTATTGTGTATTACAAAACGCAGTCAGTGCTGAGAACAGACTTTTCTGCATTCCTGTATTCAAGTGACTTGTTCTTAATTATAGTTAATGAGTTATCATCTCCCAAGTAGCTGCATTTAGACGCTCTCTATATTAGTTTCAAATTACCTCACGCCACAGAATAAGCCACTTCTCATTTTACTGGCCAAGGTGACATTTTATTGGCGGTTTGGTAACTGCTGTTCATGCCAGGGTGTATGTAAGAGGAATGCATTTGTAGGAATTAAATGAAGTTTCCTCTTATTAAGTGGGCAAGCAGACATCACACGCCACTGGTGCCATACGCTCCGGAATAAATCACTCCCCCAGCAAGGCTCTTCCTTCTGAAAATGCAGATGTAATGCAGTACTGGTGTAAACGGGCACCACCACAACACATTTCACTTGACAAATGCTGCTTTCAGGATTTAAAATGTTTTGGCTTCTCGGGATAATAGTAGAGAGAAGGTGCAGCATAGCTGGGCAAGATTTTTTTGTCTTTCTCTGCACTGTGAGTTCCTATCTGGAGACGTTTATAAATCAACCCTAAAGGTCTCTGTCCAGGAGAGCTTTTAATACTGGTTATTTGGGTATGAAATTAAGATTGCAAATTAAATATTGGGACTTACAGTTCTGGGGTTCTTCACTTTGGAGACCAGACTTTTTACAGGTCATTTTTTGTACTCTGCCGCAGGGGAAAAAAGGAAAAGAATTGCAGAGACTTAAATAGGAGGAAAATACTCTGCATGACTTTGCTTTGACAAAAGTGAATGAAGAGTGCGCGTGTGCATGTGTGTGTGTGTGTGTGTGTGTGTGTGTGTCTAAATGCGTGCCTGCTCATGCCTGAATCCACATCCTCTGACCATCAGAGCAAACATTCCTGAACACCCTTTCTCCGGTAGAACTTGGAAACTACTTTGATCAATGAGATCACAGCAAAATGCCTGTTCCTCAGCAGAGGTACGTGGCTGTGACCCTGAGGATCTAGGTAGAGCCAGTCCAGCTTATACCACCTAGGAATCTGGCCCAAAAGATTTCGTGCTGCAAGCCTGGTGTCATAATATAGGAAGAGTGATGGACTATGGTTATTTTCATTGCATCAGCAAAGACTGCATTTTAAAATAGTGGTGCAATGCCTGAGAAGTGTGAGTCCATGCATGCCTTTAGCACTCTTAATTTTAAGCACCGCTTCACTGTAAATGCGTATCTGTGTATACGTATCTGTACAGAGTATGAATCCCTCACTAGCCATCCAGCCAAATCCTTGCTGCAAAGTATTTCTGTGCTTAAGCTCTGAGACTTATTCACTGAAGCACAGAAGAATAAACTGGCCATTCACATCAAGCTGGTGGAATTTGAGTACAGGTTTAACAGGGTTTATCTGGTTTATATGTTTTGATCGAGTAAAGCTCAGACCTCTTAAAAATCCACAGAGGGAACGCAAGATCGCTGAAGTTGCCCTTGCAACTGGATAATTTTCCTGGAAGACAATTATGGGATAAGCAAAGAGTTCAGCTCGTTGAGACGGGACCCGCTTGTCCTAGATCCCACAAGACATCCAGTCCACATTCAGTCCTGCAGGACATCGGTGCTCAGCATGATCCTTCAGGACATCTGCCAGAGCAGCTGCCTGCTACATGCAATAGCTGATGCAGTCCCAGGAGATGCTGTCCCCTCTGTCAGTGTGTGGTGTCCAACCCGTCCCAACCAACCTGCTCTTCCTATGCTTGTGCTCTCTTCAGCAAAATGAACCCCCTTCTCTCGACTGCATTTGGCTTGTGAGATCACTGAGGTGACGTTCAGTGGACCTGCTGCCAGCCAAATGCCTGCACCTCCCATATAGAAATCTCCTAGCTCCTCTGCCCCTTCCAGTTCTGGAGGAGAGAGGATGTAGGTCTTTTCTTCAAACTCTGGCAATGTCCTGAGTGTAATGGGCCCTATGGGTCATCCCAACTCTGATTTCTAGGGGAGGGATGAATCTGGGGTTAGAAAAGGATTTTAGCGGTTGATCTACACCCACCACTACTACCTTTCAGAGTTTCCCTGCTTGCCCAGTCTGCCTCCAGGTACAGACTGATGATGTCTAAATCACTTCTACAAAGCTTTTGTCCCACGGTGTATTCCTGGCTCTGCAATTCTTCTAGAGCTTGATGAAGCGAGCCTGATTTTATTGCCCCAGCATTGCCTGCTAAATCTAATCATCCTCGCCCTGATGAACCGGCACTAGCAATTTTCCAGTACCGCTGAAGTGTTTCGCTAGGAAAGCGTCTTCCAACCCTTGGGTGCTTTGCTTGGGGCAGGAGATATGGACACCTTCGTTTTGCATGAAGTCTGTCACGGACTGTTTTCCCATTCTGTCCTCTCTTT